CTTGATTTCACTCATATCTCCTCTCCATGCCACATAGTCCCCTCCCTTTGTACTGAGTCTGCTTGGAATAAGAGGCTCCGATGTCTCTCCACAAATCCCTCAATAACTACAGGTGGCAGCGTCCCAGGACCTTGTGCTTTTGGCTAGCGATATTCTTTGCAGCTGCTGTGAACATTCTACTTGCTTCAAGAACATGTGTGACTTTGGGGCCTGCCCAGTCCTCTGCTGGAAAGACCCTTGTAAACATCAGCAAGGGAAAAGAAAATCCTTACAAAGCTTTATCAAAGGAATCTGATAAAAACTTGGTGTGTGCTGCTTAAAGGGGTCTCTGTCAGAAACTAGACATTTTAAAATTAAGAGGGATTAAAAAGAAAGGCACCAAATTCAACCAATTCCAGTTGACTGTATCCCTTTAAATGTTTCCTTCAAGTGAAAGGAAGTTGGGTACCATGGATGATAAATTTTGTACTGCACTTTGGACATTATGCACCAGAGAGGCTGGAGCATTAAAGGTGACTTGGTGTCGGATTTTTCAGGAGGAGAAGATGCCTTGTGCATTTGGGACCTAGTTCAGAGAGGTAGTCCAGGATTTCTCAGGGTCAGAACTTTAGAACCCAAGTTTCCTTCTCATTTATGGTCTGCCGAGGAATCACCTTTACTCATTAAGATCCTCAGCACATGGAGGCTGAATCTGTGCTTGTTTATTGGCAACCTCTCAGCTTTTGGCAGTAATTTAGCTGCTTAGTCTGAAACCCTTTGTTTGGATAAGATGTAGTGTGGAGCCATCACATGGTTAGCAGAGGGAATAGGAGTGTGAATGAGAGAGAGTCTAACTCAGAGGGCACAAATAAGAGGCACAAGTGTCTATGAAGAGCCAGCCATATGTCAGCTTGCACAGCTAAGACCCACCCAGTGGAGACCAAACAGCTCCTGTCTCCTACCTGGAAGCTGCTGTGGACTCTGGGGCTCTGGCTGTTACACCGGCTCAGAGATTCATCCTGGCTGCTGTGGGAGTCATCTTCATACAGGATATTCTGCCCTGGGGTCAGTACTTTGAGCAGCTTATCTGCCCTGTCAGATGCCCGGGACTTGTAGACCACTGCGTCCACCAGCCCTGCCTCTGTCACAGCCATGCCCATGCTGTAGGTGAACGTGGTACTGTGGTAGAGGGCCACGGCATCCCCCCCATTCTGAATGGTGTTCGGAGGCAGAACAATCACAGGACTTGGGGTCACCCACGCACTCCCCACCAGGAAGTAGCCCTGCTCATTAGTACAGTAGCCCGTCAGGTTCACCACCCTGTAGGCCTGGTTGTTTTTGCCATTATAAAGGACCAGCCAATAACCACGGAGGTCAAAACGTGTCTGCCCAGTGTAGAGCAGCTCGATGTACTCCATATCCTCCTGGCCTCCCGGATTGTCCGGATTCACCTCGTTGATGAGCAGCTCGGCTGCATGGGAAGGTGGTTCTCTGGCACCTTTAAGAGTGAAAAAATACCATCACCCTAGACTTGGCTTGCATTTTGCTTCCTGCAACTAGACAGAGTAGAGCAATGTATGCAAAATCCCATTAGACACCAACAGGTACCTGCAAACGCTGCACCTGGACTGGGCAAGGGTAGGTAGTGTCTCTAATTTGCTTTGAAGACACAGGGCCAAATTGAGAGGGCCATCTATGGACAGAGAGAATCTAGGCTGACATGACGACAGTGCTATGTAAGAGCTAGGTATCATCATCACCAGCACATCCCTTCTCTCTGACTCTTATGTGTTTCTGTTGGGGTAGCCCTCTGGAGCCCTCCCAGGGCTCAGGACCCCACTGCATTAGGCACTGTACAAACAAGGAACAGAAGACAGTCCCTGCATTACTGCAACCTAGATTCCCCTACTCACCCACCCGTGAGGTATACTGCCCCTTGTACAAGATGTTAGCCTACCAACTCTAAGTTAGGGTAACTCAAGCACCAAGGCACTGCAGGAGTATCGCTAAATCCTTCCTCTGGCTCCTCGTGGTACAAGTGACACCAACAGCAATTCCCTCACTTGTTAGTAAGTGGATGTGAATATGTCTAAGGCACACATGGCCTCTGGGTTTGGCCAATAAAGAATGAAGTGCCACGTATTCTCCTCCATGAAATGCTCCAGCACACCCCAAAGAGACATCAGCATTCCCTGCCCACACCCAGCCCCATCAACCAGCAGCACCAGGGCTTGCCAGTTAAGCCAAGGCAACAAGGTATAATGGAGGTAGTAACTGGATGGAGAGGGGCAGAATTAGGGCAATGTCACACACTTCCCGCTCAACTAGCATGGAAAGGAATCCCTCTGAAGGAGCTAGAGATGTGTGTCTGACTTCAGATGCCTGCTTTTCCCCGATCAGAATAACGACGGGTACCTGGAGGAGATGCCGTGACATTAGCATCTTTGGAACAGGCCTTTTCCACTGTGGCATTCCAGCTGCTGAAATTTGCTGCCCTGGGACTCTCCAGGAAGCTGGTGAAGGCTTGTACCAGGCTGCTCAGCTGCTCAGATGACTTGGCAGTCAGGAGTATGGTGAATACAAACTCTGTGCCCCGGCATGTTGTGACAGGATCTGAAGAGGAAAGCAGAGAGGTGCATCAGCTTCACCACAGCCACCCCTTCTCTGGAAGCGACCCACAGCTTGCCAGTACATCTTCTACCACCACCCCACTCCCATCCAGGACTGGCTCCCAGCGGTAGAATTTAGCCATAGAATTTGAAGTGATGCAAGCTTCCAATGGGCTTCACAGCCCTTCCACCAGCCCGGAGGAGTGTTCTATGATCGAGCCCACATGGATCACCCAGACATAGTCTGCACCCTTTTGTCACTACCCCCTTCTTTGAATTTCAGTCTCTAACAGTTGCCCAACAGCAGCCAGGTTTGTACCCTCAGCAGGGTCTAACCATGACAAGCTGAATGCAACTTCTCCTTGTCTATGCTGATGGTGGAGTTGTGGTCAGCATCATATCAGCTGGCTCAGCTCTCCATGGTCCTGTTCTACTGCAACAACAGGCTGGTCTAAATGTTCACTACAAAGAGGTAAGCTCAGTGGTACCTCTGCTGCCACACAGTTTAACTTGGGCAGAGTCATAACGTGGTCCCCAGTGCACATCAAAGAGGAAGCCTTAGAAAGAAAACCTAGTCTCTGGTGATTACAGTCCTGTATTACAGGACTGAGTTCATCTCCCTACTGTAGTATCTGTATACTGGGTGATTAAGGAGGCCAAGGCATTGGGACTTTCTCTCTCTAGTGAACTGGATGCAAATCTAACTGGGGTCCTGGGTTTAGCCAGGTTACATTAGAAACCTCCACCACACAAATCTGAATGACAGTAAAGGCTCAGGGATGGAATAGCAGGGGCAGCTGCAGGTCAGGACTAAAATGCATTAGCAGAGCTATGTATGGGACTACTGCTCAGCACCTGTGTGGATCATACATGGCCCTAACCAGCACCAGTCGTTGCCACAAGCAGCAAGTTCACCCATGCTCAAAAATAAAATAGGTTTCATCATAGGAGGTGGAAATCCATCAGTGAAGCCAGGTATAGCCCATTGGCAGAGAGTGAGCCCTAGCCAATATGGATCTAAGACACCTCTCTCTCACCTTTAAAGTATGCAACAGACATTCCACAATTGCACAGCTTGTCAAGGGCCTGGGCTAGAGCCGTCTGTATCTCATATGACCCAAGGAGCCACAGCTGGCAATCTGAGAAACAAAGAGATTGGGAGTGACTTGAAAAGGTCAACAAGAGCCACAAAGTTCAAGGTTATCACCATCCAGTGCATCCCTGCTGCTGGTGCATATGTAGCAGCTGCAGCCCTGCTCTTGGTTAGAGCCCGAGAGGACCAGATAGGGCTCCAATTTGCATGGAGTCCAGGGACATAGGGACTCAGGAAGTTCAGCCTGGAATTTGTTTGTTAGGAGGAAAGGGAGTGAGAAACCTCCTTGAAGGATGGGGGCATAAAGAATTAGATGCCACCACTAGCCATCCTCCAGGGTTAAACATACACTGCGTGGACTACTGAATCCAAAGTCAGTGTGGCTTCCCTGGTTCCAAACACAGCTGTTTTCCCGCAAATCACTGGACTTGAGTGACAGACCTGGTGTCATCTTTCTTCTCACATCTGCACCCGTTGTATTCTCATGTGTTTCAGGAAGGTTGGCTGATCTAGGGAACTCATTAGGAAACCTTGATTCTAGTCCCCGCCTTCCACTTGACTCCCTGCATAACCTTAAATAAGTCACTTCCCCACCGCATATCTTCCTTGTTAGTGGCGTCTTCCTTGTGAGCATAGTGGCAAGTGTCCCTGCCTGTCATGAGGGGGACCAGGTGGGGGCTGCATTTCAAAAGTTATGGGGAAAGGATTGGGTGAAGTTCTCTGGCTGTTGCTGTTCAGGAGGTAAGTCTAGAGGATCATACTGGTCCTTTCTGACTTTAAAAATCTATGACTCTCTGGGCCTCAGTTTCTCCACCTGTGAAATGGGGATGCTGCTGCCTCCTCTCAGCCCCCAAACTTTACCTTTGTAAAGAGCTTTGCAAGCTACCCACAATAAGCATTGTAAGTGCTTAGATGTTATTAACTCTGCAGAGTCACTTCAACTATAAGAGCTGAAGACTGAAGCCTCAAGCCTCCTAAAAGGTGTTATCAGCTTCAGTTCTCCAGGTGGAATCTTCATTCCTGGGAAGAACACAGCTGGTTCTTTTGACTTGCAAGCAGGGCAGTTGGGCTCTGGAAGTCATTGGGCATGAAAACCACCCTTGTGCAGAGTGGGTTTATGCACCAGTGAAGCCCAGAGGGTTTCAGTGGGATTTCAGTGGCTCACAGGCTTAGTGCCAGCTCTCTACACAGGGGTGAGTATCACCTTTGAAAATAAACATGGGACCCCACAATATTCCTTTTAAGGCCCCCATTTTCTTTGGGGGGAGGGGAGCACTTCTCCCCTCCTGCTCCTGTCTGTACCCTAAGCTGGAACAATGGAGAAGCAGAGCTAAACAGAGAGCTCGGTGATCATGAGGCTGCACTGTACAAGACTGGAGACCATTTTTCTTTTAGGCCAAATGCCTTGTACTAATCTTCATGCTGACGGTTTTACAGATGCTCTGGTAACACCCGAGCCCCTCAGGATGGACAGTAGAAGCTGAAGTTCCTTGAAGCTTATAAAGGGAGAATGTCCACCTGTTTGTCCCTTCAGGGCAATTTCTTAGGTTCTCCCTGGGGGTCTCAGATCCAGGGAGCAGAGAAGGGATCTAGGACCCACCTGCTATATGGAGGCAGAGGGAGATGGGCTGGCTGAAGCGGCTGCTGGGGCAGTCATTGAACTGTCCGGGCGTGGGGCTGCTGAGGGCATAGATGGAGGGGTCCCGGGTCACAGAGCAGCAGCTGCACCGACTCATGGACATGTTACCTGGCTGGTGGCTGAAAGAGGCAGAGACACAAATTAGAAGAAAATATGATCTGCAACCCAGACTGTTGGTGCTCCTGACTCAATAGCAGGGTGCCTGCACCAGGAGCTGATGCTGATGCCATATACATCTGCTTTCCCCACCCAAAATAAAGAGCTGGGGGAGAGACTTCCCTTCCTCTATCACCCCTAGCCTTCTGGAAAGAAACTCAAGAGCTCTTTGGAACCTCTCGAGACAGAAGAGGATAGTGTCTTCAACACACCCCTTCTCTTCCAGCATGCCACTGTCTACCCATTTCCTCCATTCCATGCACCCATCTCCAAAGGTGATGCAGCTCTACGCAGAGTCCACCAGGGGGAGGGTTTCAGTGGATGTACAGCCTGGCCAGAGTAGAGTGATTACCCATCCCTTATGTTAAGAAGTATTGAAATGTATTAAAATTGACAATAAGGACATTTGAAACATTCCATTGAAGCTGAGGATAATTGCATTGTATACCTGAGGGCAGTCGAAATGTACACTGGGGAGAAAAATCAATGACATGTAAAGGGAAATGGTGTTTCCCTAAAATGTCCCTTAAACAAAGCATTGTCCCTTGTTTTTCTCACGCTTTCCCTTAATTCCAGACAACAAAGGTGGCCACCTGAGGCCAGAGTGAACTGGTCTAATAAGGGAGATGCTTACACTGGATCTCTGAGTTTCGAGCTCAGGATGCGGTTGCTGGCCAGGGTGGGAGACAATGGAACAAAGCAGGTGAAAATTAAGACATGGACCAAAGCCCCCAGCTCAGATCCCAGGGACTAAGGATGGAGCCCAGAGTGTAAACGGCTGCCCGGAGTATAGCTGCTTCGCTCCTGGAGATCAGGGCATCTTTCTGGCTAGAGGCAGACTCTGCTCCGTGTGGATGGCAGAGGACTGTGGGAGGGAGGAAAGTGTCTGGAATGCCCAATTTCCCAATCCAAGGATTAAATCACAACTAGCTCTGATGCAGTTGACTCAACAAGAGTCCCAGCTTTCTTCCTTTGAATCCTTCTCCTCACTGATAAAGAGACAGTTCTACTCCAGCTTTGGAGCTAGGACACTGGGCGTCAATTAGATGTGCCCTTTCAATCCCAGGTCCTCTGTCAATACCACAGACAAGAGGCTTTTCCATTGTCTTCTACCTATCTGTCCACCCAACCCTGTCCATTCCATTTCCTCACCCTGCTTACGCCCCACCTCGCCCATTCCACCATTCGCTGCCCTAGCCTTTCCGGAGCCCAGGATGTGCATTCACTTGTTAACCACGTTGATGCTTACTGACCGAGATGCACACATTTAGTTGGTGGTATTCCTCTAGAGAGTCTCTTTCTGAATGAGAGCAGTGGATTGTGGGAAATGGGGTGGATGATGGATCCAATCATACCAGTCATAAGATTGGTGGAAGAAGCCAATGATTTTTTGGGGGGTTGAGATGGGCCAGTGTGTTCCAGTCTAGACTTGAGCTCAAGGAGGGGGAATTGGCAAGTGAAGCAGCTGGATAAAGGCTGGTGTGTGATGAGGCCACCATCAGGCTGAACAGAAAAGGGGCATGCATACAGGAGAGGCCTCCCGCTGTGTTACACATGGGTCATGGCTTGACCAGAGAAAGCTCATGCCATACAGTAAACCAATTGCTACCAGGGACTCCCCTACATACCTCTCACGGGTGACCAAGACCCTCTCAAGGGTCTGCTTATTGCTTTGGAAGAGCAAAAAACAGTCCATTAAGCAAAAGTCCTTTCAGACCCCATCAACCCCTCCCTACTGGGCTGCCTTCTCACCTGTTATTCTCATAGGCATGTCTCCCAGGGGTCAGGATCTCCAGGAGCTCTGGGTCTGCACTCCCATTGCTTGTGTACACTAAAGCATCCAACAGGTTGGTAGCACATGCTGCTTTCCCCAGTGTGTAACTGCTGCTGTTTCCAACGTACAGGGCGATGGCTTGGGGACCAGTGCTGAGGAGAGGGCTGCTGGAGTTTGGTGGGAATGGCAGGTCAACTGCACCGCAGGGAGGAACGAGAAAGATTGGAATAGATGCAGTGAATTAAAAACATACAAACTGGCAACAACTCAGCAGGGAATTAACAGAGCTCATGGTCAGCAGAGCAGCAGATCACATCATGTAGCACAGGGAGAGTTCCTTTCAATTTCTAGCTCTCACTCTAACCCCCACCTTTCCCTGTCATTTATACTTCCAACTTTTACAAAGAACTTTCTTTTGGGCTGAAATATCCCATCCATCACTGTGCCCAGAGGTGGATTTTGTGGGGGAGTTTTAGCAGAGCTGGTTCTGCTGTATGAGTTCTACTTTCATAAGGAGACAAAACTCTACCCCTGCGTTCTGATCAGATAACCGACATGCACAAAATTGGAAACAAGAAGTTCTGACGTGCTTTTATTCAAACTTGGCTTACTCCTCAATGAGATCTGCAAAACAAGCTAAGCCTGAAAGTTGAATATACTGTAATTCACTATATACAAAGCTGTTTAAAAAAATCCATTTTGTATTCTATTATCATATTTAAGTATAAATGTGTGATATAAAGTGACTATATGTTAGAGGCATAAATACAAGGGGACAGAACTAAGGTTGAAAGTTCAACCTTAATTTTGATGCATTTCCTTATTTTCCCCCTCATCCTTATTGTGGCACTGACACTATTTTATTTCATTTGTTAGCTGATTGAAATTACAGGAGGTAGAATGTTAATAGTATTTCTATAGCACTTTCAACCCAAGAATCTCAAAGTGTGAAACATTAAGGAATGAAACCTCAGTACTTCTACGAGGCAGGGAAGTCCTGTCCCTGATTTACAGCTGGGGAACAGGCACGGGGGATTGAAGTTATTGACTAGAGTCACAGTGGGACAGTGACAGGGCTGCAACCCAATTCCTAGTCCTGTGCTTTGGCTACTAACTTGGGCATCCTAGTAAGTTGCTCTGCTGGAATTTGGCCTGTACACAATTCTATTTGTTGCTCAGCACCTTGGAAGCACTGGGGCCTAGATCTCTACAGTTGCCACTGGCCAGGATTTCAAATGAGACTAGAGATTTTGGGTGCCTCCATTTTAGTGGGCCTCCTATGATTTTCAGAAAGTGCTAAGTGCCCAGTCTCCGAAAATCAGGTCCTTTGAAGGTGCCTCATTTGGGGGGGGAGGGGGAGGGCAAGAATGTAGGTACCCCCAAATCACTACTCTTTTGAAAATCTTAGCCCCCCTCTCAAAAAATACAAACTAAAACCCCCCCAAAAGAAGTATGAGCCAAAAGTTCAACATCTCACCTGAAACATGGCATCTCCACTGGCAGCACAGCATCTCCTACTGCTATCCTGGGGAACTAGTTTCATACTAACTTGAGAGCCTCTTGCTGAATTAGCAGCATTACATATATTCCATGGGAATCTCCCATCCTATCAGGCTATTCCTGCTTAGCTTGAGACAGGAGGAGATCACAGCCAGAGATAGTATAGCTTGCCAGTTAGCCTGAATCCCCTTAGCTTTTTCATAGATCTCAAACCCCATTAAAGTACAGACGGTTCTGGTGTAAATTTAAAACACTATCTTTCTGAAGGAAAACCGGGACACCATGAATGGACTGTTTTCAGAGTAGCAGCCGTGTTAGTCTGTATCCGCAAAAAGAACAGGAGTACTTGTGGCACCTTAGAGACTAACAAATTTATTTGAGCATAAGCTTTCGTGGGCTACAGCCTACTTCATTGGATGCATAGAATGGAACACACAGAAAGAAGATATTTATACATACAGAGAACATGAAAAGGTGGGAGTAGCCATACCAACTATAATAGGCCAATCAATTGAGATGAGCTATCATCAGCAGGAGAGAGAAAAAAATCTTTGAAGTGATAATCGAGATGACCCATAGAAGGTGTGAGGATATTTTAACATATTTTAACATGAGGAAATAGATGACTAGTGTTTTAAAGAGACATGGTTGACTTAAAAAAAAACAAAAAACCTTTGGTCAGAAAATGTTTTACCTGCTGTTGCTACAAGTAGGACAAAGTTACTGTGGAAAAAAAGATTTCCATTAATCTTTTTCAGTTAACTTTGTGCATTTAGCAGCACTTTTAGTTTCCTTTTTAGTCAGTTTCCACATTTGTATGAGTCTCTCTCTCAGTCGTACGGGAGAGAAACAAAACCTAAGTTCATATATGGCTTTAACTACTGTGGTATCTAGCATCTCACATCCTTTAAGGTGCTTATCCTCACATCACATCCTCCCTGTGAGGTAGGTCAGCACTAGTACTCTCTCTGTGCACAGTGTCTCAGCTGTAAGTGGCTTGTCTAGGGTCACACAGGAAGTCTGTGGCAGAGCAGGGAATTGAGTTCCAGGCCAGCAACCTAACCACTAAACCATCCTTCTTCCCAACACACACAGACCCAGAGACACCAAAACGTGACTACAAAACCACAGTACTTGGAAGGATGATTCAGGCAAAGGACCTGAAATTACTTTTAGCTCATTTGTTTTAGACTGATTAGATTTCACGTTGGTGTCTCTCTAAGTGATCAACCTGTTATTTAAAAAGTAGCCAAAGTTGTAACTGAACTGCTTGAAATGTATATTGCAGTTTTAAGAAGTATAAATAAGGGTCCCGTGTTTGTAAGAGATGACTAACCAATCCTGACTCACAGAGTTACACAAGATGTTCTGCGGAGTCAGTGTCTCCACCAGCCAGATTCCTCTGTTCAGATGGCCAAGTTTAGTAACATATTTGTTCCCCATCCATTTCTCCACAGGAAATGTCAGAAGCCAGGAGAAGTTCAGATCCCAGCCCAGCCAGTCAGCATGAGCCTAGTCTGGTAACTTCACAGTTGGTTCATAAAGAGAAAAAACTACACTGATATTATAGGATTGGGGTTTTTATGTGGGAGGGGAAAGTACTGCTTAGCCCTTACACAATGGTTGACATTAGAGGATCTCTCAAGAAGAGGGTGTCAGCCCTGTATTATAGATGGGGAAACTGAAGTACAGAGCGGTGAAGTGACTTGCCCAAGGTCACCAGCTACAGAGCTGGGAGCAGAGCCTAGTTCACTCACCAGCACTGCTTCTCTGGAGAAAGCAAACAACACTTCCTTCTACAGTCCCCAAAATGGGATCAAATCCCTATTATGAACTCCCTCCAAGTCTTTCACATTTGGGGCCCGCCTCCAAGGGGGAGGGAGTGAGGAAGGAGGAAGGTGAGTGATGACAGGAGGACAGTAAGACTCTGCTGTCCTCACACCCATAACCCCCACTCTCAGATGTTCACAGTAGTCTGAAGAGTGGAATCCTACCTGGGGTTCTGGCTTGTGCAGGACCAATGAGAAATAGCCCCTCAGGAGAGGTTTTGCCATAAACGTCCATGAAGAAATAAACCCTTTTGGTCCGTCCTTCGATCAGCACCAGAACCAAGTCGCTCAGGACAGTGGAAGGAGGTCCCTGAAGCTCAATGAATTCAGACTCCCCAGGAGAGGTCACAGCGTGAACCTCACTGATTAGCACGGCAGAAGCATTCAGCTGGGAAGAGGGGATGCAGTGGTTATCCTTGCCTGGGGTGGGCATGGCCACTTGAAAGATCCACTCAGAACCCTCCCCGTGGCACCTTTCTATCGACTCGTCTGTGGTCCTGAAGGAGGGATCCTCCAGGAAAGCATCCCTGTTGGGGGTCAGCACATTGAGCAACATATCCGCTCTGTCACTCTTCCTAGACTTATGGACCAAGGCATCCACCAGCCCGTCGCTGGTGACCCTCATGCCCTCCTGGTAGTTCCTCTTCCCATAATACAGGGCAATGGCATCAGGCCCATTCTGGATAGTGTTCTTAGGCAAGATCATGGAGGGCTGGGGTTTCACCGTGGAAGACCCAACAAGAAAGAACCCTTGATTATTGGTGACTTTGCCCTGAAGGTTCAGGACTTTGTAGGCCTGGTTGCCGTTGCCATTGTAAAAGACCAGGTAGTAGTCATCCAAGGGGGCCTCTCGGCCGCTGGTGTGATAGAGCTCCACAAACTCAGAGGTATCTTCCCCCGGGTTGTCCGCATTGATCTCATTTATCAGGAGCGAGTGCTCTGTCTTCTGGTTCTTGGGGTTCTTGATGAGGTTTTGAGCAAATGCCTCATGGAGCAATATGCACATAAGCACCACAGTAGCCACCAAGTGTCTGGCTCCCATGGCAGAGGCCATTAGCTCTCCCAAGTCCTAAAATGCTGGGATTTCTATTCCAGTTCAAACCAACAGGGTGCACACATTACGAGGGATGGATGGAATTCTGTTCAGTAACACTGTCTCCTTGCCATGATTGGATGGCGATAAAAGACTTTAAATCCAGGCACTCACAGGAGACCCACAGCTCTTCTGGCACCCCAGGTTTGCAGAATAAAGGGGAAATGCCACACAAATCTGCTGGAAAGGGGATCAGTAGGATGAGGGACTGCCCAACTCTGCCCCTTGAAAAGAGAGAAAAATATATAGTAAGGAAAGAGCTTGAAAAAAATCCCAGTGGAACTTAATGGCATTAAAGAGCTCTTTGCATCCAAAGGCATCTGCTACAAAGCTTCTCCACTGAACACCACAACAACCCACCCTTCCCTGTAGCTCTCTTAGAGAATGCAAGAATGGGACACTGGCAAGGGACAGTGCAGGGAAGCCCCTCGACCAGCTTTGTGTCCAGACAGACAGACAGCTCCACTCCAACCCCCTAGTTACCCATCAGCCTGATGAGTTAAGTGGCTCACAAGCCCCAGTATTAGTGTCTTCCTCAAAGCACCTGTGAAGGGGTATACCAGACCCTCTGAAGCCCCCTGCTGGAGACCGCATGGCCCTGTCACGCCCTGCCCCCAAAAAAAGAAGTGGAGAGGGTCCTCCAAGCTGCCTAGAGTGGCTGTGTGGGACACAACCAATCAGGATCCAGCAGCCTAGTATAAGAACTGCAGGGCCAGGGGGAGTTTTTTGCTGGAGCTGTAGGAGCAGGGCCGGCTCTGGCTTTTTTGCCGCCCCAAGCAAAAAAACAAAACAAAAAAACCTGCGGGGCGGCCGGAGCGGCGAAGCAAAAATGTGCGGGGTGGCCGGAGCCAGGGTGCAGGGGGACTCCCCCGGGCACTGGAGTGCGCGCCCTGACTAGCAGGGGGGAGGGAGCAGGAGAGGAGAGAGAGAATGGGGGTAGCCAGGGCTTCCTTCAGTGGGGCGCTCGCCATGCGGCCCCTCCCGCCACGCTGCCTGCCGGGAGGGCTCTGCGCCGCTCCGGTCAGTGGGCAGGGAAGGACGCGGGCTGCCCTGCCGGGCTTGCTGCAGACCTGGCACTAGCTGGGGCAGACGGAACACGCAGCCTGCTCGCAGCAGGGCGCTTCCCCCTACAGGGCGGCCGGAGCGGCGAACCAAAAAGAAAAAGAACCTGTGGGGCAGCCAGAGCGGCAAAGTGCAAAAAAAAAAAAAACCCCGCGGGGCAGCCGCAACAGCAAAGCAAAAAAAAAAGGATTGGAGGGAAGCCGCCCCTTAGAATCTGCCGCCCCAAGCACGAGCTTGCTCAGCTGGTGCCTGGAGCCAGCCCTGTGTAGGAGTATGGCTGGTGTGTGACTGGCTGGTGGAGCTACAGAACCCTGGTAGGGCAGGGCTGCGCTGCCAGAAGCTGGGGAGAGCAAGAAGGAGCCCCGAGCTGGTTGCTGGGACTCCATTAGAACAAGGCCCTAAGGTAGGGTGAAGACATGCAGAGCCACAGGGAAGTGGCCCAGGGAATTAGAGAAGCTGTGTGACATATCCCTGGTGTACACTACAAGTTTAGGTCAAATTTAGCAGCATTAGATCGATTTAACCCTGCACCCGTCCACACGACGAAGCCATTTTTGTTGACTTTAAGGGGTCTTAAAATTGATTTCTGTACTCCTCCCTGACGAGGGGATTAGTGCTGAAATCGACATCGCCAGATCGAATTTGGGGGTAGTGTGGACGCAATTTGACTGTATTGGCCTCCAGGAGCTAACCCAGAGTGCTCCATTTTGACCACTCTGGACAGCACTCTCAACTCAGATGCACTGGCCGGGTAGACAGGAAAAGCCCCGCGAACTTTTGAATTTTATTTCGTGTTTGACCAGCGTGGCAAGCTGATCAGCACAGGTGACCATGCAGAGCTCATCAGCAGAGGTGACCATGGAGTCCCAGAATCGCAAAAGAGCTCCAGCATGGACCAAACGGGAGGTACTAGATCTGATCGCTGTATGCAGGGCCGGCTTCAGGCACCAGCCCACCAAGCATGTGCTTGGGGCGGCGCCTGGAGGGGGCGCTCCGGCCCAAGAGTGGGGCCGCGACTGGGCTCACCGCCCTCCCCGGGCGCTCCGGCCGCCGGGGAGAGCAGGGCCTGCTCCCAGCACTGTGGCCGCCGGGGAGAGTGGAGAGCCCCGGACAGGCTCTCCGCCCTCCTCCCGGTGCTCTGGCCACCGGGGAGAGCGGAGCCGCGGCGGGCTCTCCGCTCTCCCCTGCCGCGCCTGGCTGAATGGGGAGCCCAGACCATTCTATC